CAACTAAGAAGTCTATTTGCTGGTAATAAACCACCTTCAGTGTGGGCTTTGGAAGGAATATTAGCAGCAGCAGCAACAACTCCGTGAGTAGTTTATAAAACTTTTCAATGTGCAATGATAATAAAATCACAGATTAAAGAAAACAAGAAGAAGCAGCAGCAATTCAGACCAAGAGGCTATATTTAATAAAGATCAGCAAGCCTGCCAACAGAAAATACCTGTGGGCACCTTCCAAATCACCCACCCCATCCTCTCAGTACTTCAAACAAGATGGTTTGATGTAATTCCCAAAACGACAGCTCTTCCAGGGATGACAAGGCAATCTAATATTCCCCATTTCTTAACACTCCTGACGTTCAAGGAATGATGACAACTCAAACAGAATGCCTAAGGCTGGTTGACAAGGAGGATTCAAGTAAAGCAGTTACCAAGCTTTCTTCCCCATCCCAACGCTGCATTGTAAATCTTTAGTTTCAGAGTTGGCTTCTGATCTCACTTACACCAGGTCAACACCAGTATAATTCCACTGACGTTGACAGAGTTATTCCAGATTTACACTGGTGAAGAGGGAGCAGAATCAGGCTCTCATTATTCATGGCTGACTTGTTCATTTTGCAGAACTGCTGAGAATAGGTATGCTATGCTTCCTCACGCTCAGACTAATGTACAATGATAATACAGGTGACATCATAAGCTTTATCAACACGTCTCTCTTTTATATAGGAATCATCAGTTTAAAATGCTTGAATTTCCTCCTGATTTCAAAAAACATTTATGAAGACCAATTAAAAGGGTCAGCAGTGTGATGCTATCAGAATATCTATCATCTTGTCACAGACCTCTCCTCAGAGTGCCAGCAGTGTTCTTCCTTGTATCAAAGGAGCTGTGATTAATATTTTCTTATGTTTGCAATCTTGTTTTACAAAAGTCAATTGATTAATTTGGTTACACTCAGAACTGGTTTTGATAGGTGAGATCAGCTACAGGAATACACAATTCCAAATTACATATAAGTGGCAAGGAAACTTTCGTCTCATCCTGGATTGTTAGTGTTAAGTGTATGTTGTTCCTCATCTACCCATCTACCTCCACCCCCACAAAAAGAGAGCTTGAGCTGGATTTTTCTACATTACCTCTATGTCTGCTAGGATCACTGCCGCTACTATCCATCTCTCTTTCTCTCTGCCTATGAGAGGAGTGTCAAACTTATTTTTGGCAGATGGCCAAATTCTATTTTTCATTGTGGTACATGGCCAAAGTATAAATTTAAGACTGCATACTTGCCTCGACCCACCAAGGAATGCCCTGTGATGCCAATGAGGGGTTTGCACAAATATCAAGGACAGAATGTGACTTTTACATAGTAACTACACTTTTAGTTTATTTATGATTTATTAAGCACCTCATTGTCACATTCAGCTGGAAAACATATTCCTCTATAAGGTCACCACTATTTCCCTTCCTTCCTTCCTTTCTGTGTTTCTCTTCAATTTCTCTGACTTCACATGTCTTGATTTTTCTTCCCTACGTATTGTCTTCCCTGCTGTAATTTCCAATTGCTCCCATCTCTCTGAGTTTTACTCCTTTTCTACCCGCTAAACTGACAAGCAATGAAATAGTTAATGCTTCCATTTAAAGTGGTGGTGGTTGGCTTCAGAATCAACACTCCAGCTTGATTGATGGAGCTGAGGGGTGCAGCAGGGTTGGTTCATGTCTCTTAGAGCCATTGTTTCAGGATCTCTTCAGGCTCAAGAAGACAACATTGAATTAGTGAACACTTTCTTCTCACTTGGAAGTTAGGTTCACTGCCAGAAAATCCAGAAACTTTATTTATTTATTCATTTGAAATGACTGCTTAGATTCTGAAGAATCTGCATCTCTCTGGGCCACCTAAATGCATCAAATGGACTGGATGCAGCATTCAGGCTGGGCATATAACATGACTGATCCATGATATTTTGACAGCATCTATTAAGTAGATATTGAAATTACTGTAAATTCTGTAGTGTAAATGCAGTACTCTATTTTTATACCTTTCACTGTCTTTCACATAACAGAGCCAAGGTTATGGATTGAAGTCCTTATTGAGTGGCTCTGTCTCCAGGTCAGCTCAGCACGGCTGCCTTAAAATCCTGAAAAATTTTCAGAATGGTGTCTATGGATCTGAGTCACAATTGCCCCACAGTCACATTACACTGACTACCCTGGCACAAAGTGATCATAAAGATACCGAGAATACCCACGGAATTGTCCTGGCATCAGGGGAGTCCTCGCGTAAGCATAGAGTCACCATAGCTGGCCACTCTCTGCACAGAAGCCTTCAATTCAGGAGACAAAGGGAGACTTGGTGTGGCATCCCTATGCCAAGGCTATTTCCAGTTGTTGGAGCAGCCTGTAGTGGGTGCTCAGTTTTCTGGGCGTGGGGGGAGGGGGAACAGAGGAAAATAATTTTTTTGAGGTAAGTAGATACTTACTGTAAAAATTTTAATTTTGTCCAAAAAAAAAATAAAGAAAACACTAACAATTTTCCATTGAAAAAAAGCTTTTGTGGCAATGTTGAGCAGTCTCCTGTACCATTCTTTTCTCTCCAAAAGCCTAGAGTAAGGCCCTGTTCCTGCAAACATGAGAAACTCAGGTCAATGGGATTATATATACAAATTAAATTGTGCATGTAGTACTTGTGAAATTGAGGCCTAGTTAAATTTAAATGTAAGATTTTTGATTTGATTTAGCTTCTGAGAGATTTTTTGCAGAGAAATAGGATTAGTTTGTTTTTATATCTGCCGGTTTTAATTCTTGACAATTAGACAGTGCTATTGTTTTAAACAATACCTATTGTAGAGTGGGGGTGTGACTCTGAGTCGCTATTCAGCCCTGTTCCCCATTTGCTCCAGGGGACAAGTAAACTGCACCAGCAATGTACCAAGTGCAGAGTCAAGACTGTGCCCACTCCCTTTTCCAGCATGCCCACTCCCTGCCCACTTTTGTGGGACAAGGTAGAGCAGCTCTGTGGAGGCTGCTCTCCTTTTCTCACTGTGACCTGCCCTGCAGGTAGCCTGCACTGTACAGGGTACCTTATGCTCATGCTTGCCTATGTTGTTGCATATAATCCTGCCCCAAATCATAATTTTAATACTTTGTATTTATATAGCACCTTTCATCTAAGGATTTCAATGGATTGTTTTACAGATAGCTGGGGAATCTGCGGCACAGACAAAGTTAGTTTTGGCATGTGAGGATGGTATTTATGTGAAAATTGGTCCTTTGATTTCTGTCTGTATTTTACTAACTCCTTGTATATGTGCCTGCAATGTGCGGTAGATGCATTTTTTAAAAAGAAATTGAAATATATGAATAAACAAATAAAAATAAGGGCCAGACTGTGATGCCATTACTCATATTGAATATTACTTTACCCACAAATAATCCCATTAAGCTCAATGATGTAAGGTACTATTCAGTGTGAATAAGGTTATCACAGTTTTACCCGAAGAGCTTTGATCACACAAAGCCCAAGAACTACACTGTACCCACTCCCACTATAATTTCTTGGGCCTAATCCACTGTGGGGATAAGTACTTTCTACTCTGATTAATTTCAACAGAGGTTCAGGGGGCTCAGCAGGTTTGGGGATCAGGCCCTTATTTTGATATAAAGTGCCAGGGTGCCCTGATGATAGGCACGTCTACCAATTTTCTAAACACAAACAGTAAAACTGTTAAATTTTAGTGCCTATTTATTTCAATGCAAAATCAGATTGGTCACCTATTTGCATTAAATTATTTTCACGCTCTCAGTCAGCCTCTCCTTTGGAGTTTATTACTGGAAATATTTGCTGTAAATTCATTTTTGCTGACCAGCAGATCTGGCAAAATTACTTTACAACAATACTGAGATTACTTCCAGGCTACAGTGATTTTCAATTTTTTAAAAAATGTTGTAAATAAGCACCTGCCTGTTATGGAAGGAACAGTTCTAAAAATTATTATTTACTGTTTTGTTGAGCACTTGATCTAAAATCCATTAAAATCAATGGGATTCCTTCCACTGACCTTGATGGGGCTTTGGCTCAGGCTCAAACAGTGCTCAGTGCTGTGCAGAGCATACAGTAACACATGGTCTCTATCACAAGGAGTTTACAATCTGACTCTCCAATCCTGAACATATATACGCACACGTAATACTATATGCATATGAGTAATCCCAATGAACCCAGTAGGACTACTCAGTCATAGAAAGTTACTTACGTGGATAAATGTTTGAAGGATTAAGGCCCAGATCCTACTTGCATTTACATCTGCACTCCATGGAATTACATTGATTTGGGCTCTTCACAATAGGGACTTTTATTTCGTCTAGTGGGATTACTCATATAAATTAGTTTTTTTCACATGGCAGTCTTCGGTTAGAAAATTCCACTGACTTCAGTGGAACTATCCCTGGCAGTAAGCAGTACAAATATATTTAGTTGTCAGTTTAGATCTTCAGGTCTAGAGCCTGTCCTGGATTTTGTTAATCCAGTTTGATCGCTATGCTCAGTAGCATTTGTAGGATCAGGCCTTTATAGTGTAAGCCCTTTGGCACAGGGACTTTGTGTATGCTGTATAAAGTGGGGGCATATTGTTATCACTACATAAATAAATAATGATGAAATAGTAATCAGCAATTTGAATCTTTTTGTAATAATTTCGGAAAGGGTGGCTTGCTGGATCGCTTTGGTGCTTTGGATTTTCAGAGCAGGTGCCCTGACCTTCGCCAAATGACTTAGTGGGTGAATTCTGCTATTTTTAAAAGGGAGAGGTGGCTCCCCTGCGGCTCCTCCTGCACATCTGGCCCTGGAAGGGCCGGCACAAAGACAGCTAGCAGCACCAGCTGTTCCACAGCTGTCACCACCACCCCCTCCGCTCCAGCAGACTATAGCCCCGCCCTCTCGTTTGCATAACGCAGCGTCATCATTAAGCGTCTCTCTTCCGCGGCTGCGCCGAGGAGGCGGGCGGAGCCAGAGCAGCGAGGGCACAGCACGGATGAGGCGCATGCGCGGTGCTGGACGGCGCTGGAGCTGCGGGCCCGGCGCGGGCTCGCGGAGGGGCCGGGGGGCAGCCGTTGGCGGAGGCGAGGCGGCGTGCGGCTGGCGGGGCCTGGCGGGCGGCTCGCCGCAGCAGCTGGCGGAGCGATACGCGGACTTGGCCGCCAGCCACAGCGAGGCGGTGCGGGCCCGCGAGGAGCGGGAGCGCCAGAACGTGCGGCTGCGGGACGAGAACGCGCGGCTGCGGCTGGAGAACCGCCGGCTGAGGCGGGAGAACCGCAGCCTCTTCCGCCAGGCGCTGCTGGGGCCCGGCCCGGAGCCCGACGCGCCGCCCCGCCCGGGCTCCGCCCCCGAGCAGCAGCAGCAGCAGCAGCAGGAGGAGGAAGCGGCGCTCGCGGCCCAGCTGCGGCGGCTGCAGGAGAGGCACCGCCGGGCCCTGCAGCAGCTGCGGCGCCGCCGAGCCCAGGACGGGCTGGAGGAGGACGGGGAGCTGGACGAGCTGCTGCGGGAGTTGGACGGGGAGCAGCAACGGCCCCCGGGGCAGCAGCCGCCGGAGAAGAAGAGCCTGGTGCCGCCCCTATAACCAGGGGGAGGCTGACGGGGCTCCGCAGTGGTTTGGGGACCCCCCCCACAGCCAGATCACTGGGGTGAGGAGCCCCTATCACTCTCTCCAGCCCCCCTTTGCTACCTGAGGCGGACCCAGCTGGCTGCACTCTGGGGCCGCCTCACAGCGGGGCTCCTCTGCCCCACAGGTTTTTGGGGTCCCAGAAGTAGGCACGGGAGCTTTCTGCAGGAGAAGCCACAGCATCTGGAGAGTTGGCATCTGGAGGAGGCCCCAAGGAGCCCCACGCAGCAGGAGGGAAAGGGCCTCACAGCAGCAGGTGCCTCGTGCCCTTGGATGTTGAGGAGAAGTTCGTCCTAGAGGGAGAAATGGATTCTGGACTTTGCTGCCTCCTGGCATTGCCCTGTCTGCCTTCTCTGCTTTGATTTGGACCTGTGTGTCTAGTTATCTTTGTGCAGGAGTGAACAAATCTCATAGAGGCCATAATAGCCCTGTAGATGACCCAACAATGGTACATTTGTTAGCCTGCTACTAGGTTTTAGTACCCATGTATATCAGTTTAAAAAAATGAAAAGTTTGTGTGCCAGATTTATTTTGACAGCACTTTAAATGAAAGCTGATAATCCTCGGAATCCTTCTGAATTGGTTGGATATCATCTGCAACTCCATTCTCTGTATATCTTTGACTATTGCTTTGTTCATCCTTGTCTGTTGCATAATTGGTCTAGACATGGCACTTCCAATTCATAAAACTACAGGTCATACTAAATAAATCCTTGACACACCAAAATGCTTCTACTAGATGTGATTTGTAATATGCAGTTGAATATAATATATACATTATTTGTTTTATACTGTAAATAGCTACTCTTCAAAGTTCTTAAATTTTGGTACTGAGGTTTTTTCAAAATTCTAAGAAACAAGCTAACTCAATCTTTCTGTTTTAAGTAAAAACTATTTTTTTCACTTATATAACGGAAACTATTTTAATTTTTAGTTTCTATTTGCTGTCTGAAAGACCAACTTTGTAAACATATAAGAGTAACATTATTTGCATCAGTAGTCCCATTGCCTTTAGTAAGATTAATCAGATGAGGAAAGTTAGTGTTGGATGCCACTGTTTGTGGGATGGGTCCCTAAAACTTAATTACTAAACTTTTGACTGAGATAAGGTGGTATTTATGTAACCTTTAATAAAAAAAAAAAAAAAAACAACAATAATAAAACACCCACACAACTTCAAACTTTGTTTGGAGTTAGATGTATTTATGGGAAAAGAGGAATACTTGTACCAACTTCACTATTATTGTTTTATATAATTGAGGTTTAAAATAGTCTGTGTAGCGTCCAGCATACAAATTTAATTGTGATATAAAATGTACAGTATCATTTGTTAAACCAATATCAATGCATAAAAAGCATTTTAATTTTTAGGGGAATATACCTGTTTAATGTGATAGGTCTAAAGGGCACCTCTGCTATGCAGTTCATCTTGCTTAGTCTTTAATGGGAATTCTAGAATGTCAGTTTCTGAATGTCTTGTTTGCTCACTAGGTTGAAACTACCCTTGCTAGCCATTTTAAATTGGCTAATAAAAGTATATTAGTGAACTACAATGGGTACAAAAAACCAGTGACATGTCCAAATGTGTTTTCTATTTAAATAAAAGTTACTGTGTTCTGACCATTCCCAATAAAGTAGATGTATAAACTGAAAATGAAAAGAGGGATTTAGAAAGAAAAATGCCCAAGCAACTTGTATGGTTTAGCAGAATAATAGTATAATATAGGCTTACAGTACTTGAGTAGATGACCTTTTAATGCCCCTTCCAGACCTACGTTTCTATGATTCTGTGAGCGTGTGTTGTTGCAATATAAAGGTGGAAAACATCTGAACACAGAAATTATTTCTTAAGAAAAAATATTGCTGTAGGCATTAGGGCCCTGATTCCATGATTTCATTCAGTGCTCTACAGTTTATTCATAGCATGTTCCATTTTGAAGACAGTCAATCAAATCAGATATTGCAGCTTGTAGATGTCAGATACAGTGAGGGCAGTTAATTATTGCCTTAAAGGAAGGTATCTAAATATTCTAGATAAGTTTATATAGCTGATGCATACTTTTTAAGAGATTTAATGGATAAACAAAGTGAACTCAAACAGAAGGATCATTGGTTCTAAAATGTAATATGTATGTCTGGCCTGCAGCTTAGAAAGCTCAAACAAAATTCACCCAGGAGCTTCTGTTCTAGTGGGACTCAGATTCATACTAGCGGTCTGCTGAAATATGTAAGTCTTTCGAGCATTATTTAACATTGGTACACTCAAGGGTCAAATTTTTAGTTGGTATAAATTGTTATTGACTTCAGGTCAGTTATGATAGTTTACACTAGCTAAGGATCTACCCCTGTGTGTGTGTGGTTTTTTTTTTTTTTTTTTGTCTCTTGCTATTAGAACACTTTGGCTAAAGATTGATGAAAAGGTGACTCCTGTTGGATTACCAGGATCACTAAGAGCTGCACGAGCAGGCCCATAACAATTTTCAATATTAAAATTATCCTTTAATACCATAGCAACAGTAACTTGTTTCTGGCTTTAGTGCAATGTAATGTACATTAAAATCCTTGTGGTCATCACAGGTACAAGAAAAAATTTGATAATGTTTTTCATGTTAGAACTCACAGCATCAAGACTTTAAGGTGATGGGAAGGAATGTTAGTTTTATAGAATACCTAACCTTCCCTCTTTCTAAACTTGCTTGGTCTTTCTGTTTTGATCCTCTTAGTTCTATATCTCTGGTTCTGCTCTCACTCTCAGTAATTCAGACATTAGATGTCTACTCAGGACCAGAAATCATAGTTGTCCTAGACCTTACATCTTTTACTTCCTTCAACTCCCATGTTTAAGTCTATCTATCACTGTCTCCAGAGCATTCCCGGTGTTCATCCTTCTTTTGATCTACTTGCTGTGGAATCCTTAGTTGTCTTTTATTGCGCCTGGCGTTGGCTATTGCACTTCCACATTTATGTTCTTATTGAATACCTGCTCTTTTACTAAGGTTTGTGTTTTTTTTGGTGGGAGGGGGAGGGGTTGCAGAATGTGGTCTCCAACCTACTTTCTGTAAATAAAGCTGTACCATCCCCATTTTCTCCTCATCTTCACTAATTTATTTTTCAAAAAAATTGCCCTCCTGGTTTTCAAAACTTGATTATATATCCTTCTAGTTTCCTTTCCTCCATGACTCCCTCAAGTATTTGGTGGGCAAAGTTGCTTTCTCATTTTGGTTGCCATAATAATCTGTAACTCCCTGTATCAGTGAATCACTTCCCTCTTTTTAAATCCCTCTTTAGAACAAAACACACACACACTCTTTTTTTTGGCTGCCTTATGATTCACACCTAGTATTTTGTAGTACCATGTATGAAGAATTTAGAGGAAAATCAGACTTCTATAATCGTAGGGATTTTTCCCATACTTATTTAGGCGTCTTCCTGTTTCTCTGTAAATATTGATCAGAATTAATAATGAACTTGATTATTCTAGCTAAATGATAACTTTATTAAAACATGCGTTCTACAAAACTTGAAAGAGAAATTAGGTTATTTTAACTCATTTGTTGAAATATCCCACTTCATTTGGAAAAATGAAAACCTTTAGATCTGGGTGTAGATTTGCCATCTCCCATCGTAACTAATGAAAAAAAGTCTCGTTTCTTACATGAACATTTAGCCTTCTTATCTGTGGACTGTTCATTATCCATCTCTCTTGTGGCCCCTCTTCATTTCTCTAGCCTCACCTCCCCCAAAAAATTAAGTGGATGATTCAGCAGAAGCTATATCCATACCGATATTAAAATCATTTTTGGGATGTGTGTGTGTGTGATGGCAATTACTTTAAAACACATGCATATGAACAGAATATCTCAAGTGTTGGTGCGATAGTTAATATACATTCTACGACTCTTCTGAGACCTAATTTAAGTTTTATTAAGTATTGCTTTCTGAAGGAGCCTTTGTCCGCTACACTCATCTCCTTGAATATGTTAAGGCTTTGGGGTGCTTTAACTTGCCCACAGAGTATAATGAAATAAATTAAATATCTTGGTGAAAAACTATAGCAGTTCAGATTAGTTTAGTTCACCTACCCTCCTATGAAAGCAGTCATCTGTTACTCTTCCCTTTTCACAATCTTCTCTCCTGTATCAATTTCTTTGTACTTACAAATTAATGGTGTACCTAGGAAGTAAGCTATATGGAAAGTCACTGTTCAAACCAGACTGCTGAAAGTGGTGGTTTAAAATTAAAATATGGGCTTGGAGCTTTGTGAGTTGCGATAAAGTAATTGTGTGCCTATACAGTTACTATATTCTACTGCTCCCTATGAAACTCCTTTCCCAAAAAATCAGACCTTGTTAGATTGTAAAATAGTAATATGCCAAAATTAAACCTTTTGTTTAAATTTTTGCTACTAATGTTTCTCCTTGACCAGTTCTGCTGAATCCCTTGCTCATTGTTCTGCCTACCAGCTTCATGCATACCAGACCAGGACTGAGCTAGAATAGCCAAAGATAAAAAACTAGAAGAGTGATGAGAGGCTGTAGAGAGATTGTTGGAGGAGTGACTATGCAGGAGGAGGAAGGGGTCAGTGACACAGCACAAAATGGGTAGCATGAGCAGTAAGGGAGAGAGCATAGTTTAGTTGCAGAGCTCAGAAAAAGAACATAAACTTAAATGGGAAAAAGTGTCAGACTAGCATCACTGGGAAAAAGTACTTTGTCATGCGCAACACAGGTGTGGTGTGCAGTGACTGCACGCTCCTGAAGGAAAATCCATTACAGCAAGAGCGTAGTTGAGTCTTCATACCTATGTAGGATGGGATCCACAAAAGTTCTTAAGTGTCTAAACCTTGGATGTAGGCACCTAAATCCTGGTTTTGGCTCCACTGTGATCCATAAAACTCTTGCCAATCCTTTAAGCACCAAGTGAGTTTAGGTGCCTAAAGTTTTTCAGGGTAAAAATTTCATATACACCTATGTTTCAGTCTCTGGGTATGCACACTGCTGCCTTCCTCTAGTCTTCCTGGGTACATATCTTCCACTAATCCCTGGAGTGAGCCACAAACGAGGGGAAGGTAGGCATTTGGTGTGTTTTCAGGGTGCCTACTAAATTGGGTCCCATTCAAAATACAGCTGGAGAAGGAGCGGCCCACCTTAT